GAGTTCTAATTACATGATTGTATGTTCACTTTTAAGTACTCGCCAATTTTTTCGCCACATCGGAATAGTATTAGTCAATTGGAATTTGTTATCGCAATTGGCGATGTGGCGATCGGGTAGCGGGAGCCCTGCATATTACTCATGTATATAATTATAGTAATGGAAATGGGAATTTTACAAATACACATAAAGTGAAGATATTGTTGAAAACGTTAAAAAAATAAAAATCAATATTTTAGTTGTTAAATATAGAATCTCACTTTTTTGTTCCCGTTTTGCACTCAACATGTGATATATCACCTATATAACTTACTCACGTTGGTAAATTGTATACAATATAAGGAAATTTTAGCATTTGGTAGAAAAACATAAAAATAAATATTTTCAGTTTCCATGACAACTATTTTATAAGCATGGATGGCACCAGTACATGTATGCTACCAATTTCTAAACTATCAGCCAATTTGAAGTTCAACTTTTGAAGTTATAGATGAAATCATTTTCTCAATTTCTGACAACAGATTCTATGATGTCATACTTTACCATAATCCTTTGCTTGAAAATCAAGATGGCTGACTACGTAATACTGATGAAAAGTGGAATATCTAGAGAATGAAAAGTGATACAACAGAACTGTAAATTACATTCTCCTACATTTGTGGAGCTTTTTCTTTAGGGGTCTTTATGTTGTTTGGATTGAGGTTCCCTTTAAGAGCTCGAGGCGTGGCCTCCACACATATATCAGTCACGCAAAATAATCAACACGCCATAATGTCTGATTAATTGCCCCCGATGTCGGGACATAACTCTCATACTTATAGGCGTCTTGTTGACTTAACCAACTTCCATAGTCGACCATTATATCAGCCAGTTGTTCCATTTACTAATTCCCTAACATACGAATGAACCTGATCATGACAAGTTACGAGCAGGTGTGGATTATCCAGGGGTCATCAGTGAAAGTCGCTATAACCGCAAAAAGCGGCCTCACCTAAACACATGGAAACATAAATCATGACACTGTTTTGGCATTATACAACTTGCAGTTCCATTTTGATGGATTTTGTGTGACTGGCCGTGTTATCGAACTGTAGTATTATGCCATTTTCACGCTGCATTATAACATGGAGTCATCATCTAAGTATGCACAATTATTCGTCCCGTGTTTCCCAATGCATTTAAAAATTCACCTTTGAATTTGTGGGACTTTGTGTGACTAACCATGGTGTTTGTAAACTTTAGTCGAACTGTAGTAGTGTGTAAATCTGCCACAACATAGAGTTGCCATAGTCTCTTGTTTACCAACTCATTTAAATACATTGTGCCTGAACAAAAACTGAAAAGTGATTTCCATTTACTGTAATAAACTGTATTAGCTTCCTATGAACTTCTTAATGCCATCGGGATTATGTCTACTCCACTCGGCGATGTAGTGCTATCTTCTATAAAACGCACATGAACCCGGAAATTGACGGCAAATCGGGATGGTCTCGCCACGTAATTTCTTACCTTGTTCTTGACCGCAGTACGCTTGGCTATGAACTTCTACATACCCACGCTTATGGAAATAGTGCATCATGGGTAATACTGTATTGATCGAGGTGAAACAAACTTGGCTGCATTACGCCTGTTGTTCGATTACATCACTCGTGTTTCTTTTCCTGTCTTAGAGTTCTCTGTTTTCTTTGTTTTGTTTTTTTATTCCAATTAAACAGCGATTTGGCTGTGGACATTTAGTCATTGTCGACAGTTTTTCTCAAATTTTTAGATTGTCATAGTAACAACATACGCTAAGTACAATTAAACGTCCCGTCCCATTTCTAAGGTTCAAAACAAACAAATTATTTAATTTAGTTTAATTCCTTCGGTTAAAAATTCAGTTTCCAAAATAAATAAATCATAACACGTACCCTCATGTATACTTCAAGTTTTCATTAATTTGATTAAAACAAAGTCAAAGTCTTTGAAATTGCTTTTCTGCCTGTTCGCCAATCCATTGCTCCAAAACACACCTTTAAATACTCTTATCTTAGCATTGAGATAGCTCTGCCAACTCTTAAGTATTATTGTCACTGTACACCAAAAAGCAACATTGTAGATTATTTTGTGTGTCTCAAGATCACCTGAATAGGTTAAATGTTGAGTAGATGTGCCAATTTTATAAGTATGTTATTGTGGCTACCCATTAACTTTTCCAAATTAAGGGAGTTGAATAACACTCACAAACTATTGACCCATGTTTGTTTCATAGGCTAGACAGACTTTACCTGATCTGACTGTTGTCAAAGCCATTCAGAAGATTGCTTGGGCTGCTGGTAGTGGAACATTTCATCTATTACATGGATCAAATGAAGAAATTCATAAAGCATATGATAGGGTAAATATATTTCACTTTTATTGTGAATTCAGTTATAATCTCTATTTTGAGAAATCTGAGTAGTTTGTACGAGTATGAGTTTATGAAAGAATGATTTTTGATAGATATACAGTACAGTTCTCGCGGAAGCTTTGGCTTCACTTCAGCTTCACCTTCGCTTCAGCATCGCATCATTATGGCATTGTTATGGCTTCAGCATCGCTTCAATGTCGCGACATTAAAAAGTTAGGCGGTTATCGCTTCGCTTCATTGTGGCCTCTATGTCCCTCTATGACTGTGATCAAACAAATAAGTACTGTACTCATTTCCCCAAAACCTCTTGACCGCTTCCGCTTTTGACCGGTCAATTTCCGTTTTATTTTCGACCGTGCAACAATTCGAACTACTAAAAATTTTCTGGTTTTCATAGATCACGGCACCGGGTGTTGAGGGACGGTGATCACGGTTACTAGTTTAGTAACCGTGCATAGATGTTGAACAACCGTCAAAAGTTCAAATACTTTTTGTTTTAATTATCTATAATTG